TGGCCTCGAACTCACAGAGATCCACCTGGCTCTGCCTCCCGAGTGCTGGGATTAAAGGCGTGCGCCACCACCGCCCGGCGTATTTCATTTTTAATACTTTATTTTATATATATGGGTGTTTTGCCTGAGTATATGTTTGTTCATAAGAAGATGGTGGCAGATCTCCTAGAACTTGAGTTACAGACAGTTGTGAGCTACAATATGTGTGTTGGGAATTGAACCAGGGTCTTCTGTAAGAGTGACTGGTCCTGTCTGTCTGTCTGTCTGTCTGCCTGTCTCTGTTTTTCTGAGACAGTTTTTCTGTATTGCCCTGGCTGTCCTGGAACTCGTTTTGGAGACCAGGCTGATCTCAAAACTCACAGAGATCCACCTGCCTCTGCCTCTCTTTCTGCTTCATGTTCCACAGTGTTCCCTCAGCCTTAGTAGGGAGTTAGATAGGAATTTTTTTTTTTTTTTTTTTTTTTTTAGGGCTGACTACTAACACTTGGACCAGTTCTGAGTCTTCATTTCTTGCTGCCCACTGCAGAAAGGGGCTTCTCTGGCCAAGACTGAGAGCTGCACTAATCTATGGGTAGAAACAGACGAGATATTTACAGTTTAACAATATGACTTTTTAGAGAAACAACAGTAGTAGGTGACTCCCAAGGCCTGTGGCCTCCAGAGCTATAGGCTTTTGACCAGGTTTATGTACCTGGCAGGCATGTGGAGCAGGCCACACATCCAGTCAGCAAGCAGTAGGTTACCCCTGTATACCATCATGCCACTAAAACATTACTGGCTACATCTTGCCTGGCAGGTTGGTATTGTGGTGTTTAGGGCTCACTGATGGGATAATACTGATTTATTTTTACTGGCTTTGCCTGGTCTATTTTTTTAATGTGTGTGTGTGTGTGTATATACATATATCTATATATCTATATCTGTATATCTATATATCTTGTTTGTTTTGGGGATTTTTGAGACAGGGTCTGTATGTTGCCTTGTATCTCCTATAACTCATTGTGTAGACCAGGCTGGCCTTGAACTGAGGTGAGGTTTACTTGCCTCTGTCTCCTGAGTCCTAGGATTAAAGGTGTATGCCACCATGCCTGACAATACATAATTGTGTCTTGATCTGTTTTTGTGGGTTGATTTTGTTATTGATGTTTTGTTTCTTTTTCTACCTAGTAATTTCTTTCTTAAAACATTACTATTTTCTAAAGATTTATTTTTATTTATTTATGTGTGTGTATGTGAATGCCATATGTGTGCTGGTATCCCTGAGGCCAGAAGACTGTCAAATCACTGGAGTTGCAGGTAGTTATGGACTTTCTGTTGGGAGTGTTGGGAAAGGAGCTTAGGTCCTCTTCAAGAGCAGGAAGTACACTTTGTTTTTCCCCCAAGATTTTTCATGCTGAGTGTGGTGGCACACACCTTTAGAAATCCCAGCTCTGAGCTGGAAATGGGAGCCACATGCCTTTAATCTCAGCACTCTGGAGGCAGAGGCAGGAGGATTTCTCAGCCTGATCTACACAGTGTGTTCCAGGACAAGCAGGGCTGTTACACAGAGAAATTCCAGTTCTAGGGAGGTAGAAGTCTCTCTGTCTCTGTCTCTCTCTCTCTGTCTCTCTGTCTCACACACACTCTCTCTCACACACACACACACACACACACACACACACAGCATGACCAAAAGTAACTTGGAGAGGGAAGAGTTTATTTCACCTTACAACTTCTGGTCAGCTCATCATCTAGGGAATTCAGGGTAGGAACTGATGCAGAGGCCATGGGGGTGGGGGTGGAGGTGTGCTGCTTATACTGGCTTGCTCAGTCCACTTATAGCACCTAGGACCAGCAACCCAGGGGTGGCATCATCCCTGATGGGCTGGGTCCTCTTATATCAATCACTAATTAAAAAAAAAAAAATGCCTTAAAGTCTTGCCCATGAGCCAGTCTGGTGGGGGAATTTTCTCAAATGATATTCTCCTAGCCTGTGTCAAGTTGACATGAAAGCTAGCCAGCACAGTGTATGAGTGTTTTGCTTGCATGTGTGTATGTGTATTACAGTCATGTTTGATGCCTTTTGAGAAGAAGCAGATCCTCTGAAACTGGTTGTGAGCCATGGTGTAGGGATTGGTAACCAAACCTTGGTCCTCTGTAAGAGCAGTTAGTGTTTTTTTTTTTGTTTTGTTTTGTTTTTTTTCTCGAGACAGGGTTTCTCTGTGTAGCTTTGCGCCTTTCCTGGATCTCGTTCTGTAGACCAGGCTGGCCTCGAACTCACAGAGATCTTCCTGCCTCTGCCTCCCAAGTGCTGGGATTAAAGGCGTGTGCCACCACCACCCAGCTGCAGTCAGTGTTCTTAACCAACCACTGAGCCATAGCTCTCAAGCCCCCATTATTATTATTGTTGGTATGTGTTTGAGTTGATTCTTTCTACCTAGTCATTTTTCTTTTCCTTTTCTTTTTCTTTTCTTTTCTTTTTTTTTTTTGGAGAGAGAGGGTCTCACTATATATGTAGCCTGGCTTGACTGCCCTTCAATTTGCTGTGCAGACCAGACTGACCTGGAGTTCACTGAGATCCTCTGCCTCTGCTTCCTGAGTGCTGGGAGAAAAGGCGTGTGCCACCATGTCTATCCTCACAGCCTAGTGATGTCTTTTTTTCAAGACAGGGTTTCTCTGTGTAGCCCTGGTTGTCCTGGAACTTACTCTGTAGACCAGGCTGGCCTTGAACTCAGAGTTCCACCTGCCTCTGCCTCCCCAGTGCTGGAATCCTAGGCGTGTGCCACTACTATGGAATAAAAACAAAGTTTTTAACCGTAAACCTTCCCTGAGTTCTCTCTCTCCCCCTTTTGCTGTTACTGTAGTACACGGTGATCTTTCCGGTTTTTTTTTTTTTTTTTATGTGTGTGTGTGTTTGGAGATATGTGTGTACGTCTTTAGGTTAATCCGTGATAATTGGTTGTTATTTTTCCTGTTGTGATAAATATCCTGACAAATGCAACTTAAGGACAAGAGGGTTTATGTCGGTTCATAATCATGGGGTACAGTCCATCAAGTAGGGGATTCAGAGTGGGGGAGCTTGAAGCAGCTGGTCATCTGTGCCCACAGTCAGCACAAGGAATGCTCCCCGCCCCCCCCCAGCTGGGTTCCATCTTTTTATGTGGTCCAGGACAGAAGCTTTGTGAAGGTTGCTGCCCTGCCTTCCATTATGGTGGGGTTGCCTTCCCTCAATTAGCCTAAGAAAGGATAATCTCCCAGAGGCAGGCCTAGAGGCTAACCTAATCTAGATAATCCTTCACAGGTGTGCTTGGAGCCTTATTTCCTACTTGCTTCTAGATTGTGTCAAGTTGATAACCAGCATTAACTGGTACATTGACTTAACTAAAATTAAGCATAGCGATTGGCACATGGTAAGTGTCCAGCAAGTGCTCGAGTGAAATTAGTTAAGGAGGGTATTATAGGAACTGTTTCTTTTGGTAATGATTTAGTTAAAAAAAAATTTTAATTGTATGTATGTGTATGTGCCTGTAGAGGCTTCAGGCCCTCCAGGGGCTGGAATTCTAGGCATTTGTGAGCCACCTGGTGTGGGGTGCTGGGGTTCAATTCTAGACCTCTAGAAGAGGAGTACTCACCTTTTGTATGTCTAGACAGGCCTCCTCTGTATAACAGTCCTGCCTGTCCTGGAACTCACTCTGTAGACCAGGCTGGCCTCAAACTCACAGAGATCCGCCTGCCTCTGGAAATGCTGGGATTAAAGGTGGACACCACTGCTGCCCAGCAGGAGTACTCACTCTTAATCACCAAGTCCTTTCTCCAGCCCTCTTAAATTGTATTTTAAAATTTTAATTTGGGGTTGGGGATTCGGCTCAGTGGTACAGCACTTGCCTAGCAAGCGCAAGGCCCTGGGTTTGGTCCTCAGCTCTGAAAAAAATTTTTTTTTTTTTAATATTTTTGAGATAGTCTCTATGTATCCCTGGCTACCCTGGAATTCATAGAGATCTTCTTGCCTCTGTCTCCTGAGTGCTGAGATTAAAGGCATGGGCTACCACCACCCAGCAACAAATTCTTACTATTATTTTTTAACAATTTATTTTTATTTCATGTGCACTCATGTTTTGCCTGCATGTGTATATGTATAAAAGTGTCAGATCACCTGAAACTGACTGCCTATGGGTGCTGGGAATTGAACCTGGTTCCTCTGGAAGAGCCACCCAGTGCTCTTAATTGCTGAGCCATCTCTCCAGTCCAACAAATT